GTTAATAAAGCAGGGTGAATGTTAGTGAACATGTGCTTGTGATTGTGGATATGTTGTGAGTTCTAGAATAATGTTGTTCTAGAATAGTTTGTTAGATTGTAGCAGTTAGTTTGTTGAGCTGTTAACCGTTCTTTATAGCAGCATATGCTTTCCTTATTGACTGTATAAATACTGCTCTCTAATTCAAGAGAGATCAGCTTCTTGATAATAAAAAGATTACAAGATTTTTCAGTTTCTTTCTTGTTTTCATAGATAGTTAAACTACTATCTTATCAATGGAAGGCTGGCAGCAAAGCAAGGGTGGCGGTTTGATTCCACTTATGATCATAAAGACAGTACCGGAGAACCCATTCCCTTTATCTTCACCCTTGGCTCCGGGAAAGTAAGTTTGCACAACTTGTAAGGCTTCCAATTTCACCAACATTTATTTGTTTATCACTGACTTGTTAATCCATATTAATACAACTTTGGTGTTTATGAGCCAAACTTATGTAATCCCAAAAAAAGCAGGTAATTTCAGGGATTGAATCGGCAGTGAGATCAATGAAAGTAGGTGGAACTCGTCGAGTTATCATTCCTCCGTCCCAAGGATATCAGAATACTTCACAGGAGCCTATTCCCCCTGATGTGCGTTATCTTCTTTGACATACTTGTCCTGGCTGTATTCTTCATTTACTATTATTTACCTGTCTTGTGCTCTGCTCCAGTTTTTTGACAGACAGAGGCTGTTTACCACCATTTTCAATCCCACCCGTCTTTCCAATGGAGAAGGCTCGACCTTGGGAACCCTAATATTTGATATTGAGTTGATCAGCATAAGGCATTAGAAAACTCAACTTCCATTTTATTGCACTGTCACAGATTATTTACTAAATGCGCAACGTGTAGGAAATATTATTTAATATTAATATGAAATTCTGTTACTATAAAGTCTTTTTATTACCTTTCAACTAACAGATGCTTTTTTTTTGGGGGGGGGGGGGGGGGACTCTTAAAGCAACAGTTTTTTCTGTTGCATCATTGGCAGCATTTTGAACAGGTTTATAATAGTTTGTACAATAATGTGTTTAGCAATCCACTTCTTACCAAACATGTGCTCTGCAAAAGAAGTTTATGCCATTTTCGTATTAAGAGATTCTCTGTACGAGGTAGGGAACTTCTGTCATAACACAGTGGCAAAACCAACATTGCCAAATGTAAGAATTTATTTTACTTCTATTCATTAAAGCCTGACTGAAGATTTCGTATGAAAATGATGAATAAAATATCGATGCTTTATTTTTGTAGAGTGATCGTATTTGCAAGAGCAGCAGATCGATTACTTGGCAAAAACTAGGCGAGATATCATATTGAAAACCGGAGAAGCAGTGACTGAAAAACTGCTTAGAGGAGCACTCTACTTTATTGCAGTAGGCGCAAATGATATCTTCACAATGGCTTCTAATGTCTCATGTTGAGAATGCAGATTCGGCTGTACGCCAAGCATGGTGGTAAACCACCTTGTGTGTCTCGAGACACTACTCAGTATGTGTTTTGGGATGCATACCATCTAACCGATAAGGCTAACTTCATTACAGCGAAGCACGCATTGGACGGTAGCCCTCAATATGTCATGTCTCGAATATTTTTTTATGCCCCGACTGAAAACTCAAAAATAGACTCTATAAAATAAAAGTATATCTTCTTATTATTTTAAATAATTAATTTAATATAAAATATAGAAAAATAATTAAATTTTATCTAAGTATATTATTTTTATTATTTTGTTAAGAAAACACCTAAAATACAAGTAAGAGAGAATAAGTAAAAAGAAAAAAATATGTGCATATGATACTAAGCTTGATTTTAAATAAATATATATATATATATAGTGAATTATTTTATCATTAGATTAAGATTGAAAAAGACTAAAAGTTAAATAATATTTGATAAATTGAATAATGAGATTTGGAAAAGAGAAAAAATATGGTTAAATCTAATGAATTAATATAAGAAATGAAGAAAAAAATTCAAAAATTAAGAATTTCATGAAATTTAAAAAACTTAAGGCCACAACTATAAATATAAAAATTAGGAGGTTCAATTAAAATACAGAAATTAGAACCTCAATTATAAATATAAAAATTAAGGAGTCTAATTATAAACATAAAAATTAAGAGCCCCAAGTAGTAGGTCAGGATGCTCTTCTAAGAGCCGACTCTGAACATTAACCTATTGAGGTTCATGTTCTAAATAAGATTATGCAAAAAATTTAGTTTGCATTCATCCATGAATTGATAATAAAATAATATTTAATTTGATTAAATATTCAATTTTAGTGGTAAATAATTAAATATTTTTATAATTGATGAATATTTATCCAATCCTTTCCTTCTATTATCCATAAAGAGAGTACGAATCAATTTATCTCAATAATTAAAAGAATAATTGATTTTAGAAATCACAAATTCAAACACCAACAAATACAATGGGTAATTAAGCGTTTATACATAACTTCTCCAGGCAAATATACATAATCATGAATCATGTCACACAGTGTGGGGGCATCATGAGGACCTTTGCCCAACATAGTGTCACACACAACCAATCAATTTTATGAAATTATCAATTTCATTACCTTGTTATTATCGGATTATATTCAAATTATCATTCTTCAATAGTGGCACTGATTTGCAAATTGCAATCATCGTATATTAAAGCTAGAGAATCTTCATCATTAACCACTACTTATTTAATTAATTTTGTTACAGATAAATAAGCAATAAATGAGTATATATATTTATTATGAAATTAAATAGATATAATCATTTTTAAAATGTGTATAAAATTGTCTAACTAAATCAAAATCAAATTTTAGGTTTGTGATTGAATTAAAATTGAGATTTCATACATATTATTACAAAAAACTAAAATTTATAAACTACATTACACAAAGGGGTGAGTAAAACTCGATTCGAAAAAGAGGTTTTTTCGACTCTGCTCGACTAAAAAAATTGATTCGAATTGATTTCGAGTTGTAATTTCACAAACTCGACTCGAAAAAATTAAAATTCAAATCGATTTGTAAAATACAACTTGAATAACTCAAAATTTTTAATAGTTAGTGGATTGATTTTCAAGTTTGATAATAGTCTTTCGACTCTTTATGATATATGTATATCACATATGAAAAATATATGAAGAAATATATATGTATTGTAAATAGTTATAAAAAAACTCACTTAAATTGGAATCAAATAATATTATAAATATTTATAATTAAATTTAAATAAAGACTCAAAATTTCAACTCGACTCCACTCGAAAAAATTTCAAGTAAACTTCAATTTATAAAATAATACTCGTCAACTCGAATAACTCAAAAAAAATTAATCGACTCAATCGAACGCTCACCCTACCTATACATTTAATAAAAAAAATTATATCTAATTTCGAAGCGAGTTATGAATCAACATTGTTTTTGCTTGAAATTATAATATAGTGAGATATTTTAAAGTTGAGAGAATTCTAATAACTTCAACCCTAATAAACCCTAATCATAATTTGGTGACATGTTGAAATCATTTTACATAACACCTCACTTTTGTTGGCAATTATATTTCATTGGCATTGCTACCAAAGTAATAATCCTTCACTTATAATTCTTCTATTTTGATGCCGACAGGATTTTTAGATCTACATTGACAATTCACAATATGTACCCAAGGAATGTAAACCAATCATTTCCCAGTCAAAAACCTTCAACGTCAAAAACCTTCATATAAAAAAACAACGTCAAAACCCTAACCCTAGCGCATTTTGAAATTATAAGTATAATCTGTTTTAATTTATAGGGTAAATTACAAATTTTGTAATTGAACTTTACTCTCTCTTCTATTTCTCTCATGTACTTTAAATATTTTCAATTTCCTCATTGAACTTAATATATTGTGTTTTTGTGGTCACTCAGCCGTTAAATAGTTAATTACATTAAAATGGGTTGTCATACAGATGTAAAACGACGTGGTTTTGGTGAAAATTTGGTTTTTCTAAAACGGTGTCGATTTTAACATCGTTAAGTATTTAACTGCAAAGTGACCAAAATAAGAGAGAGAGTAAAGTTCAGTGACCAAAAACACCCAATGTGTACCCAATGTGTTAAGTTCAGTGAGAAAATTGAAAACTTTTAAAATTTATGAGTAAAATAAAAGATAGAGTAAAGTTTAGTGGTACAATTTGTAACTTGTCCTAATTTATAAATACAAGTCAACTCAAACTAATAAGTAATTTAGTTTGAAAAAGACACCATAACAATATCATAAAAGGTTTCACTTCAAAAGTAATTGAAGTATGAGGTAATTGCATACGAATCCAAAAATATAACTCTCATTATAAATTAGTCTTTAAATTTTAAAACATTTTATATTAGTTTCCAAACTATGATTTCATTTTAAATTAATCATTAAACTTGAAAATATTTTATATTAAACCTTAAATTATCAATATCATTTAATTCTGATTCTTTTATTAACATACTATTAACTTTACTATTAAAAATAGTATGTTTTTGAAGGTCATGAGGATTAAACTCCTGACTTTCTAAAATATTTTTAGGACTTTCGAAAATATATTTATGTTTTAGAAGATTACGTGTTAAATTTCCAACACTTTAAAAAATCAATATAATTAACATTACATTAACGAAATTAAAATGATAATAATAATTTGAGGATTGATATAAAACGTTTTTAAGCTTAGAGACTAATTTAAAATATAAGTCGTAATTTGAGAAATTATATAGGCCATTTTATAGTTTAAAGACCAATTTAAAGTATTTGAAAATCGTAAAGTGAAAATTTTTAATACTGAAAATGTCTTTCAACTTTAGTTAAATTTTCATTTTAATCATTTTTTAAATTTAATCTTTTAATTTTAATTCGTTGTCGCTTAGTTATTTTAATAATTTTTAATGAAAATGTCATGTATTGCTACATATAAGAAGAGAGAGAAAAAGGGAAAAGGCCGACAAAAGAGTGATTCAATAGGAGCAAGAGAGAGCCTCTGAAACCCCAGATCTCTCTTTGCATTTTTCTCTTGGGAGCTCAAAATCCTATAGAAAATGGTGCAGAAACCATTGATCTATGCATTTGTATCACGCGGGGAAGTTATCTTAGCAGAGTACACTGAGTTCAGCGGAAATTTCAACACAATAGCTTTTCAGTGCCTCCAAAAGCTTCCTTCTTCCGACAACAAGTTCACGTACAACTGTGATGGCCATACCTTCAATTACCTTGTTGACAATGGCTACAGTTAAGTTGTCTTTTTTGTTCTTGTTCAAGAAATTCAAATTTCGGGTTATGAGTGGAACAGCAGAATGACATAGATGAAAATTTTAGTGCTTTTTTTCTCCGTTTCCCATCCTTTTAGAGTATTTTTTTAGCTTTATGAGTATTTTGCTTCGTGAAGGGGGGGGGATAGGATCATTGGAAACTACTCATTATTATGGAGATCTCTGGTTATTGTTCATTATAGCATTTGAAACTACTCAAATCGTTTGCTTTGTAAATGATGGTTTATTATGGAGATGTTGAACTTTCACCATTATTTGCCTTATGTGTGGAGTGCTAGGATCGTGCAATATTTAGCTTGTTGAGAATGAGAGGGTGTGTTATATTGTGAGAATACATTGTTATTGTTATCATCCCTGCAATCCACATTCGTGATTCGACATTAATGGTGAAATGGGAAAGGGGAGGGGGATTCTTTCGCTGTATATTTATTCTTATCAACAGCTCCTTTTCCTATGTTGTTGGTCGATTTGCTGACATTTCCAATATTGCAGCATATTGTGTTGTTGCAGATGAGTCTGCTGGAAGGCAAGTAACTATTGCTTTTCTGGAGCGTGTCAAGGATGATTTTGTGTCAAAATACGCTAGTGGAAAAGCTACTACAGCTCTTGCCAACAGCCTGAACAAGGAATTTGGGTATCTTCCTCTTGACTAAATTATAAAAATAATTAATTTGGAGGGGGTTTCATCTTTTCTTATTATTGTTGCATATATAACATGTTATTAACTGCAGGCCAAAATTAAAAGAACATATGCAGTACTGTGTTGAGCATCCTGAAGAAATAAGCAAGCTTGCTAAAGTCAAAGCTCAAGTTTCTGAAGTCAAAGGTGTTATGATGGAGAACATAGAGAAGGTTGATGTGCTTTGTTTGCTGCTTAATTGTTATGCTTCTATTGTTCTATCAGCTATTTGTAAGTGGATGGAATAACACTAGAGTAGATGATATGAGCTGGTGCGGCGCTCTTAAGCTGATTTTTTAGCATGTAGATTGTAGACATAGTGAAAGATGGCTTAAATCTTGTTAATTAGTTCTATGATAATCCTTTATTTTTTATGGCACTTACTCCTTTAGACCTTAAGGGGATTTATGATTTTTTTTGTGGGATCCAAAATTTCAAGTACTTCCAGTTTTTGTTGGTTTTGCCATATGCAAATAAGTATCTTATGTCAGTGTGGGAATTATCTAGTTGGTTTTTCAAATTTCACGTTTTCTGGTAAGCTTTTGGTTGCTGTTGCCATCCTGCAATACTTCTGGCAAATTGCAATTCTCCTATATTAATTTATGAAAACAATTTCGGTAATCGACCAACTTACCAGAAAGATGGTTTTGGTAATATTTACTACATTTCCTTCCTACAGGTGTTAGATAGAGGGGAAAAGATAGAGCTGCTAGTGGATAAGACAGAGAATCTACATCAACAGGTTCATGCCTCTCTACCTTATGTATCAGTTACATGACCGCACACATTTAAGCATGTTTCAAGGAAGTGAGTTTTCTATTGATAGCCTGTGAGAATTGAGATTAGGATTTGGAGCACCCTGCATTCTGCAACATAAGGGAATTATCTGCAAGAGGAAATGAATCCTCAACTTATCCTTTTGCCTAAGAAAACATGAGAAATCATGGAAATAAAAGAAAAGAGATTCCTTTTAGTAGCATGAAATGTCAGTTGTGATGCAAGAGATGTAGAATTGTAGCTACAGAATTTGATGTTTACGACTTCCTGAAACGTTAATTTGCAGGCTCAAGACTTCCGGAATACAGGAACAAAAATCCAAAGAAAAATGTGGCTACAAAACATGAAGATCAAGCTGATTGTTCTAGGGATACTGCTTGCCTTGATCCTCATCATTGTCCTCTCTGTTTGCCATGGATTCAACTGTGGAAAATGAGTGCCGTCTTGATTAGGCTTATTAGAGTTTTCACCTGAGCTATTGTGATAATATTGTGAGTAAAAGATCAATATATATATATAATGTGATTTCAAATGTTGTATAAGAATAAGATTAGCAATCACCATATATTTGGTGCAAGATATTTTTTAATGTGAACAAACCCTGAAAATGTTTATTGCAATACATGAATTTGCATTTTCCAACAATCATAGCATTAACCACCAAGCTTCAAATTCAGTAGGCAAAATTTTGTACAATACAGCAACTTGTTTAATGTTATATTTTTAGGTCGAGATTTTAAGATCATTGATTGGATGCTTAAAGCTACCAAAACATGTGGTAATCCTGATTCATCATTCCAGTCCAAGCTTTTTTGGTTAACTATACTGACATGGCCTCCTGAACCTGAGCTGGGCTCAAACTTCGTCCTTCAAGCTGGGCCTTTTTTTCGAATACTGGGTTCAACTTTTAATCAGCCCCATCGTATCATATGGCTCGACAATGATCACCATTATTAACTCTTCTCAGTGCTTTTAGTTAAAGTTCTGATATTGTAAAAACTATAGGATTCAGGTCAGTGGACAATTTCATTAACTTGTTGATTGATTTTCTTACCTTGTACATAAATTCTTTAGCTGAAATCATATGTAATTATATATCAACTCATAGTCAATAAGCATTGAAATTCCACAAAGAAAATGTGAAATTCATCTACTGGAATGCTGAAAAGCCTATGCAAAACAAGACAATCAGATAAAAGCACACCACAAACAAAGAGAAAATGCATTGGTAAGCATGGGTCACCCTGACCCACCAATGTAGCAGACAAAACAACATTAATACACTGTTTTGTTTCACCATCTGTCCTTGCTCAACCTCATTCATTAGTTTAGATACTTCTCTCTTCAATTTTGTCATTGTCACTGCAATTTCTGGTGCACTCCAACCAAAGCCATCTACACTCAAATTTCTCCCACAAAAATTAATTCAGGTCCCCATCTTATATAAACCAGAAAATATGTCCATACAATCTACACAATTTCGAAACTCGGGTTAACATCATCTCCCAGAATCAGGTCCCATTGCCTTCAATTATTTTGTGTATGAATAAAAAACAGACTATGGGGTGTTTGACAATGACTTTTTGAAGAGCTTTTTAGTTTATTTGAGGATAAATAGTTTATTGGTAGTTAAACCCTCCATTTTTAATATTTAGTAAACACATTTTTAAAAGAATTGAATAAAAACGTTAAAAAATCCAACGGTTTGAGAAAGTTGATTGCAAAATAATATATTAAATGACATATTTAACCCCTTATTATTTCCATATCTTTACAATGAAACCTAATCTAAAGTACCCTCCATCCTAATGCACTTCTCTCATCAGAGTCTTCTCCATCGTCAAACTACAACATCAAACAACCAAACCATGGAGATTTTTTGTAAGATAATTTCACCCATTAAGGTTAGTTCTTTTCTTTTATGCTTTTAATGAGTTTTACTTGATTTTCCTTGTAAAATTTTACCTGAAAAAAAATCAATTTATTGAAATGATTTACAAAAAAGAATCTATTTGCTGAAAACAAATGTGAATTGTTTCTTTTTCCTTCATTTCTTTGTGGGTATTTCATCAATTTTTTCATTTCTTTGTGGGTATTTCATCAATTTTTCATATAATTTGAATCTTTTGGTCTCTATAAATGTAACTTCTTTTTTTTTTTTTTTAAATGGAAACATATACAGAAACAATAAAATATCTACATGGAATTAAAAGTCAATTACCTGCTTCACATAAATAATACGTACGGGATTAGGTATCGAAAAGGTTAGCATTCTAAGAAGCTGCTGAAATTACAAAAGGGCATAAAAAAATGAAAGATAAGATATATTGATATGTAACGTATAAATAAATATCACAAGAAATAATGATCCCCTGATTCGTTTAGCTCTTCTGGAATTTTTGCACATATGCTTGTACAAGTTTACTAAGTTTTGATTTCTAGAACGACAGATATTGATCATTTTTTCAGGTGTTTGAGGAATATTAGTCCATTGCATTGTAACTCTTTTATATATGTAGTGGATTTTTTTTCCTCCAGTTAAATAATTTTCTCCCTTTGATTAACTTTTTTGTTAAATTCAACTCTTGGTTATTTGCACTGTAAATGATCCTGTTATTTATGATTATTTGGCATCCATATCTGCCTCCTATCATTATTCATTTTTTTATTTGGTGATGTGATTTTTTATAGGAAATATTTGCATGATAAAAGAAGAGAAACACTCCTATTTGAGATTGCAAATTAAGATTTGAGGTTAGCTTTAAATCTCTATAATATTTGTTACATATTTGTTCAAATGCTTGTTTTGATGCTATATGTATCACATCATTGTAGTGTCACTTGTCTCTAATATGTACACCAAATTACATCTTCTTGTCTCATGTTAACGACTTTACATTATGGGTTGTTTGATATGTATTATTATAAGTAATAATAGATTGGAATGGAATGTTATCTGAGCACAATGGTTATCGGAAATGTTAATGTTTTTGCTTAAAAAAATTTAAGACGTATATAAGTAAAATAACTAAATTTAATTATGGTATATACTACTTAGATGACACCAATGAAGAAAAAGAACAATGAAGAAAGTGAAAGCGGGGGGAAAGATGCAGGTAGGGCTAGTTGGTCTAAAGAAAATGTATGCATATATTGTGATTTGTGTATTCAATATGCTGAAAGAAATAAAGGAAAAAGTGGTATTACGATCTCACAAAGAGTGCCATGAAAGATTATGGAATTGCAATTTCAAAAAAAGATGGGCTTAGTATATGATAAGACTAAGCTTAAGAACAAGTAGGATTAGATAAAGAATAGATGGAGTTTTTGGAAAGCCTTGAGGAGTAGTGGATGAAAAAAATTAAGGTTAGCATATTATTTTGCTTTATAGGAAAACAAAAGCACTTGTTTAAATTCTTAGAATTAATTTTTCTTTTATTTTTCTTTATAAGAAAACGCACATTTTAAAGCATTTCAAGATGAATGGATTGAACCCGAACTAGAGTATAAGATGGAACAAATGTTTGGGGTTTTAGTTGCACAAGGGATTCATAAATTTACTCCTGCTGAGAATTAAAAAGAAACAATACATGCCCCTTCTCCCCCAAATTATAACATTGGTAGTGTTGTTTCTGATTATGATGATGTGTGGAGTATGAGTAATGTCATAAATCATACTCAAGCGAATATGGAATAGCAAGAAGTTTAGAATGACTCTACCTCAATTCTTTCCCCTTCTCCTAATTTTAATGAACAAGAAGTTCGAAGAAGATGAACCAAACGAGCCACTGAGAATGATGTTTTTGGAAGTAATAAGAGTTCTAAGGTTGAATAGACTAGGAGAATTGGAGGATCAACACTGTTACTAGAGAAACTTGATGCTATGGTTCAAGTTATTACTGAGACTAGCATTAAAGATATGGAGTTATTGAATGTTGAAGCACGCTCACTCGTTGAATCTTCTATTACACTTGTTGATTCATTAGCGAAGTTAGTATATTTGCTTGGTTTAATACCTAGTACTCCAGAATTTTTTTTTGCTTGCACATTGATCGAGGATCCTCAGAACATGACTATTCTTAGTGGTCTGCTAGATGATGATGCTAGACTTAATTGAATTAAGTACTTGTTTGAAAGGGGAAAAAAAAACACTATAAAAGCTTAATGCAAGTTGAAGTTAGTTTTACTATTCACTTGTAAACACATTTTGAAGTCAATTTTCTGTTAGTATTTAGCAAATTTTTTCTAACTTTTGGTACTGGAACTTATTTCTAATGTGCAACTGCCTTATCATAGTAGTGGAACGTATTTGTACTGGCTTATCAAATTTTTAAAACGTCTGCATTTTGTGCCCTTCTCATCTCACTTTTATCTTTATTTATACTTACCAATATAAAATGTATGTTTGTTTGATGCTAAATAATGTTTGTTCGATTGAATTGATGAGATACTTTTATGCAATTTGATGCAAGTATAATTGTTTATATATTCAAATATTTGTAGGCATGGATATACAAGTTATCCGCAATAGAATACGTAAGAGGCGAAGAAATAATAACTTTTGGGACTTGGTAGCTTGTGCATTTGGTTATATATCTCTTTATTATGTAAAGTACATACACAAGGAACCATGCATGAATTCTTTTCAAACAGGAGAAAAACGGATGCAAGAATTGTTGAACAGTCATGGGAAAACGTTGTTTTAACATGTTTAAAATGATACAATGCACATTTCGCCAACTATGCATGGATTTAGCATGCAAGTATGGGTTGCTTCCTTCAGATAGAATATCTACTTTGGAGAAGATGGGTATATTTGTATTTACTCTAAGTAAAGGAGCCTCAAATCGGGATGTCAAAGAGAGATTTCAACATTCTGGTGAAACAGTAAGTAGAATTTTTAAAGAGGTTTTAGATGCCATGGTGGTTTGTTAATAGACATCATAAAACCAAGAGATCTTGAATTCAAGGATATTCTTTCACAAATTGCTTATGACACCAAATATATGCCACATTTTAAGGTAATTTTTAATGGATGTTATTTCATATATGTTATTCTATGGTAATAATTTACATCTCATCGGTATGCATATAATAATAGATTCATTTATTTTAGGATTGCATTGGAGCAATTGATGGTACTCATATAAATGTTATTATTCGTGAGGAATATCAATTACGTTATAGAGGAAGAACTAGGACAGCCACCATTAATGTATTAGCGGCGTGCGATTTCGATTTGTTTCTCACATATGTGCTAAGTGGTTGGGAAAGATCATCTCATGATTCTCATATTTTCCTAGATACAATTGGGAATCCAAATCTAAATTTTCCAAAACCTCCTCCATGTAAATGTCTTCATTTTAGTTAATCATCGATTCCTATTATTGTGCACTTTTATTTTTTTAAAATAATTTTTTTTTTTAATTTTGTGACCTTTTTTATCATGCTTAGGCAAATATTACTATGCAGACAAAGGATACCCTAAAAGACAAGGCTACTTGACTCCATATCATAAGACAAGGTATAACCAATCAGAGTCGTGGTGCAAATCCAAGAAGGCCACAAGAAATTTTTAATCGAGCTCATTCTTCCTTACGAAGTTGCATTGAAAGGTCATTTGGCATTCTAAAGGCGTGTCGGAAGACTTTAGCAAAAATGCCCAAATATTTGTCTCAAGATCAAAATAGGATAATTTGTGCTGCATTTGCTTTATATAACTACATCAGATTAAGTAAAGTTCTTGACCCAGCTTTTAGAGTCATAGATTCAGATCTAAATTTTATTCCTCCGGAAGCATTTTCAAATACTGAATCCACTCAAGAAGTTGAGCGTATGAAGACTAAGGGTGTGTTTGGTTCAAGTGATGTAAGATTACCAGTGGGAATAAAAGATTACCAGTGAGAATAAAAGATTATCAGGGAATAGGATTACTGGGAATGTTGTATTTTGTGTTTGGTTGGTTTAGCAGAAATATAAGATTACTGTGTTTGGTTAAAGAAATAAAAGACTATTCGAATGTATATTTGACCAAATTATCATTATTATATATTTGTTTTTTTAACAAGTTGAAAAATATTTATATATTTTCTTTATAAAATTTAAATTCATATAATTTAAGAAATAAATGTTTAATGAAAGGGTAAAATTTTATTTTAACCCTTGAACTTCATATAAAATTTTAATTATAGATTTTTTTGTAAATCTAAAATAGTTTAAGGATAAATTTGTAATTTAATCTTCGTAAAATTTTTATTATTTAATGATAGAATAAGGATATTTTTGAAAGAAAACAAAATTTAAGGGCATTTTAGTAAAAAACGCCGGTAATCCAACAATACCTAAGGAAATGGAGGTAATGACATTCCCGATAATATACCCAAAAATATCTACTATTAGTAATGTAAGATTACCACGAATGACATTCCGGGCCAACCAAACGGGGGATGTGGATTTCATTCCCATGGGAATCTCACATTCCCCCAATCAAACACACTCTAAAGAAATGACAAAAGTATGTGATGACATCACTACCAGTTTAATGGAAGCTAGACGACCACATCATGTTTCTTAAATATTCCTATTTGTTTGTACTTGTTTGGATACGTATCTCTTTCTTGAATATTTATGTAATCTAAATTTGTTTTCAATGAACTTGTGTAAAATGAATTTTATGCAACGTCTAATGATGAATTAGTGAAGTTTTATTTTATTGTTCTATTTTTTAGTTATAGATTCTCAAATATATTTTAGTTAAGAAAATATAGAAAAATATTAAAGTAAAAAAAAATGTAGTATTGATATTTTATACAAGGTTAATAGTATGTATCAATCTCACAAGGTTAATATTTGTAAATATTAAATTTAAAATATATATTCAAAGTTTTCAAAAAATATTCACTAATTTTCTTAAGAAATTTTTAATATTTCATCCCAATAAATACTAAATTATTATAAAACATATATGTACTTAACAATTAAATGTATCATACCCTTATTTGTCATTTTACTCATATCAGCTATCATCTATCAATTAAATTTTACCAAACGCTTTTATATAAACAATTTCTCAAATCAACTAATCAAATCGATTGGTTAAACCAGTTACTGAAATCAGCTACCAACTATCAACTCTAAGTTGTTTGTCAAACACCCCACTATCAAAATTCCTCCCAAAAAAAAGGATTTTTTTAAGTGTTTTTTATTTTGATATGTAATTTCAAATTTCCTGTCCGCCCACTTTCATCATTTCTGCTGCCAAATGCTTATATATTTGGGTCAATACAACAATCAAAATACTTCAAAAAGTCACACCAAACGATATTGGTCTACACAAAAATGATCAAAACATTTGAAATTATAAACTTGACCCAAACTTATAAGGCGCAATAGTAAATTAAAAAAAAGTCTGGTTAATTTTCCACAACACTTGATGGGGCACGCTAATCATAGAAGAAAAAAAACAATTTATCTCTAATTCTAATCATTATTTACCTTAATGATCTTCTCCCACACACCAAAATTAAAAACATGAAGTTTAGGACAGTTTAATATTGTTTTCGAAGATTGCTTTTAGGATCAATATATATATGTAAAAGTTATTATGTAATTTTGGAGTTAAAAGTTTAATTTTCATTTTATCATTCTACAATATGTTTTTTATAATTTATAAATTTATAATTTTTATCAAGATACAATAATATGATTAATAAAATATTTATGGATTTGAAAATTTATATCTTATTATGTTAATTTATTTAGATTAAAAATATTTTAAATTTTATATCTTTGTACACTTACATTAATAAATTTTTTTATATATATATACATTTTATATTTTACTATAATTAAAATTGATATATTCCATATATTACGATATTAAAATTATAAATATTATTTAAATATATTTATCAACTAAAATATTATGTCTAAAATGATAATTATCATCTTAAAAGTATTTTAAAGAGTAATAATAAATATTAAAATATTAAAATAAATAAGGGTAAAGACAGCAATTACTTTTTCTGTGCAGCAGTTATTTTCCTTGCCACCGGTTACACAAGTTTCTTCCTCTCAGGCAGCGGTGGTGGCCTTACACGGCCATCTCCCTGTCTTTTTGTTCCTCTTTTCCGCAAATTCTTATCTACTTTTACTAGTTTGTAATTATAGTTTAAATATTTTAACTATAATGTTTTATGTTGTCTTTTTTCTGAGAAAGGGTATCATGTATATCGATATTTTGGGACTTCCTATGTAGGTTGCTTTTATTGGTCTTCTTTTAGACATGTGTTTCTTCATGATTTCATGGTTGGTTGCTTTCCCGATGTTTGGTTTCTTTGTTTATTTGTCCATGATAATCTGTTGGTTATCGAATAGTTATGCTATATGAGATTGTCGTTAAGGGGAGATCGTTTTTTCGTTTGACCGTTATAGGATCTTCTTCAAGTTTTTTTTTCCTCCATATTTGTTGTTCGGGCGGTTGGAGTGATACGTTTATGGACGTCGTTGCATCAATTGTTTACGCTTTTGCTTATAAGATCATTTTTATATTTACTTATGATAGTCACGACTGTATTTGTTCAATCTATATTTTGTATGACGCTGTTGATGATATTCTTAAAAAATCAATATATCACATTTCCACTTTCAAAAAATTATATATTACAATAATTCATTAAAAAATACTCATTAAAGACACTTTTCAAAACTATCTTACCATTATGCTTTCAAAAATAATGATCAAATAATCATAAAGACGTATGTATCCACTATTTTTGTTCAATATTCCTTGGTTGTTTGTATCAGCTCCAAATAATTAGTGTGGACAGCACTTTTCGTGGTTTCACTTTACTGATTTGATTTCATTAATTCTTTATTATATAGATTTGTTTTTTTTTCAAAACTGCATTGGCCCTAGGATGCTTTTTCTTTGGAAGGTTGTTTTCAGTTTCCAACAAAGGACACATTGCAGAAGCACACACAACACTGTCTGGTTTCTTTATAAAAACCCTAAAAATAAAATGAAACCCACACAGTTTACGTAGTCTAATCATCAAAACATAAAAATAATCCTACGTGATGCCTTGACAAAAGAAGAGATGTTATTTTATTGATTTGCATCAATCATGACCTTGTAGATGGTAATTAATTAATTAATTAATTAGATTGACCAGTCAAATAAATTGGATCAAATGTCGTTTTGTTCACTATTGATGGCTTAATAAGTTCCACATTTGATCTATTTCATATTTAATATCTTTCAAACTTATGAAGTGAGCTTTTTTCATGTTATTTATTTCCTCTCGAACATGCGTTTACTTTTCTATTGAAAGCTAGGCTGCACCAAATCATGCACAAGAGACACATGTATGTCCACCGCAATATAAGGATCGACTAAACAAATATAAATATATTGTTAAAAAAGTCATATTCATATTTAAATGCTTTCATTCATAAGATTGTTCAACGCTTCAGCTAGTTGTTTAGCAAGCATTAGAGTAACCATCACAAGGGATGAGTAGAGATAACTTTTTTAATAATAAAAAAAAAGATGTGTAGAAAACAAACAAGTTGTTTAGACCACTCCCCATGATTCTAACGTCAAGAATGATGTTCTGCAGATGGGACAGGGAGATTTATGTTTCATTCCAGGAAAAATAAAGTTTTAAATTTATAAAGTAAAATGGAGGAGTAATAAAAGGCGGCGTTTTCAAGGTCAATTTGCAGGATGAGATATCCTGAATCGTTCATTACAATGCACCTAAATTATTGCACTGTTGTAGTATTATTATATATATCATAAATTTTACCATGTTGGACTGCAGTGGTGCACGCAATGAATGCATAAATCTAACGAAACGTCGAGTTGTTGAAACGTCCAATCAGTTGTTTTTTAAAGTTAAAAGAACCAAGACAAAACAACTAAACAATTGCAGAAAATTGTCGACACTTGATCTGGTCCCTAAGGAATCACACGAAACAAAGTCTGCAT